ATAAATTATTATAGGACGCTGTAATTGGTTATCTACTATTAAAACAGAATTTTTCTCAACTCTTTCCTAATTTCATTCCAATACGTTTGGATAAATATAGAAGAATTGACGTACATTTTGAAATTTATTGTACTTAATAACAAACTAATAAAAAGCAGTTTAATTTGTCGCATTCTGAATATTAAATACATCTGCTTAAATCAAGTAATTACAATTTCTATATGTAAACTGACTGAATCATAATCTCTCCTACAAACTCGCATAACTGTAACTAACACGCAGTACTCGATCATGTCCCTAGAGATTCAATTAGTCAAATTAACTTGGCCAACTAATAGAATGACCATTATACTCGATCTATTTGGTAAATAGTAATATGTACTTTACTGTAATTTTCTCGAACTTTTATGGAAAACGAATGTAATATTTTAAACAATTTCGTAACATGCGCGATTCAATCAAACGTTCGAACGTATTTAAAGATGCAATTCACAATTAGGATGGTATTCAACAGCATATTGAAATAATGAACTAACTTCATTCGGTATAGAAAATCTATTATTTAAACATAATTATATCGTGCTTCGCAATTATTCGCGCCTTTCTGTTATATATTACTTCGTTCGCCACGTGCCTCCCCGCTGCATTATGCATATTCCATGCGATGATCCACCCTCCTGAACTCTTACGGTGCATTAATCTACCAGCGGATAACATTCGCGTATTACAAAACTCTCGCGCGGTTTGTACGCGCGTGAGAGACAAAGTCGGTCCGCGATACGTAGATACGAGTCGACTGGTTGAAATTCCCATTGTTGACGATAATCCGTACTTATCAGCCCGTAAGCTATAAAATATACGCTCGGTTGGGAAAAAGAAACGCGACGAACGAGTATGGAAACAATCATAAAGCAAGTCCGGTTGGGTATGTAAAAATCCTTTAAGATAAGGAAAAAATAATGGGGACTTTATAAATGCAGAGCAGCCATTTTAATTTGTGTTCGTGAATAAAACGATTCGTTTAGACGCCGGGAAAATTATACACGACGTTGCGCAGAAAGCGTAATAGCGGAGAACGCGAATTTGTGTCGGTACGTGCGTGAAAATTGGAATATGCATTAGAAAAACCACGATGAACTGTTCGAAGTCGATTTATCGTGAATTCGTTAGTTTAATTGTGCTTTGTGTATGGTATGCGTCAATGTGAGGGCTTTAAAGTTTCAAATACAATGAGAAGAGACAATCTCTAATATATCTACCATTTGCACGATGCGATAGAATTTGGTCTGTCACATTTGAAATTTCTTGACAAAACAAAATGTTCTAAGAGACGTGTTTGTAGGAAATTATTTATTTATGAAGGGAGGTTATGTTTCGATCGGTGGACGCGTCGGTCGAATGATCGAGGTGTTCGGCATTTTTCGGACGGCTTCGCGAGGTATCGTGTGGCATTGTGTTGCGTTGTGGTTTGTTGGATGCAAGCGGCGTGCGGGAAAGTCTTTTGTTTTTTTTTATTGTACCTTTCCAGTCTTATATTCTAAAATACATTCTGTTTGTTATTTTCTCACACGTCTAATTCCGCCACCCTCGATCGTCCAAATCCTACATTTATTTAGACTAAATACGCGTAACGCTATATTTATACTTAATCTGACTCGTAAACTGGTTCATTTACAAGGCACTAACGTATGGTGACGCCTGCAGTACGCATACCTGGGTGGAAGGGAAATGGCCGCATTAACGCACGCTCAGCGTTAGTGATCCTATTATAGGGGACAAGGGATAGATATCTTTTAGATTTAGTATTCCTCCACACGTGTCTCGCCGTACATCTACTTCTTTCTGATTAGCTCCTCCATTCGTTGTCAAACTAAAATTCTAAAATGGCGATTAAATCCTCGAATTAATTTATTTGTATTTAATGAACCATCGTTTTGAAAACGATCGATTTGATACGAACAGCTTTTTATGTAGATATTGCAAGTGTGAAGATGTCATAACGACATTTATTTCCGTTATTCGATAGTAGAGAGCTATAACTTCCAACCGTTATTTTTTTTATTAAACCAATTTAACGTCTGAGTAATTTCCCTTGCGAGTGAAACTGTACAGATGAAGTAAGATTTAGTATGGTTCTGGTTGACATACTCCACTACAATTTCTATGGCTATACACGCCGCTGGAAATACAGAGGCAGCTTTATGTAGCGAAACTAGTTTACTGTAGTCCGTTTGTGGAACTGCACACGCTGCATCTACTGACGGACTATCGTCAAATTCGGAACCGTCTGTAAATATAAATATATCATCCGTACACGATATGTTAATGACGTCAGAGTCCTCGATAGGAGATTACTGGAAAATTTTAACAAAAACAGTATACACGGTTGTTCTGTTCTTATCGTATAACTAGTCGATCTGATAAATCGTTATTAGGATGCATAAAATCTTCTATTGCTTTAAACTTTGTTCTATAAATATATATAAATGGTAAACGATATAAAACAGCATTGTTTTATCTTGTATTCATCTAAAGTTCAAAAAAAAAACAAATGTTATCTAAAAGTTCGAAGCAACTCCAGATTAACCCCTGGACGTACAATGACGAGTTTGACTCGTGACAAATTCTTGATGTCAAGTTTTACAATCATGAGTCTACTCACTTGTCATCAAGTCTGATATATTAAAATCAATACTTTTTTACATTCATGAAGTAATCGTAAAATAATTTTATTCTTTTTCGCGGCCATTCTTTCTGAAAACAAATTTAAACAAAATTAAATAGTATACGTTTGAAAAATTATTTGGAATTAAATCGTACGTCAAGGGGCTGATATAATGTACAAAATTCTTGGTGAAGACAAGCTTAAATACTGATGTAACACAAAGTGTAAGTGTCGTGTAAGTGTACGTGTCGTAAAGATTATTTAAGAGGGAGAATTAACCGAGGCTGGTGGGCGTAATTCATGGTGCAATCAAGCCCTCAATAGAATATTACTGGAAAATTTTGTTGTTGTTCTGTTCGTATCGTATAAGTAGTCGATCTGATAAAATGTTATTAGGATGCATAAAATCTTCTATTGCTTCAATACTTCGTTCTATAAATATATATAAATGGTAAACGATATAAAACAGCATTGTTTTATCTTGTATTCATCTAAAGTTCAAAAAAAAAACAAATGTTATCTAAAAGTTCGAAGCAACTCCAGATTAACCCCTGGACGTACAATGACGAGTTTGACTCGTGACAAATTCTTGATGTCAAGTTTTACAATCATGAGTCTACTCACTTGTCATCAAGTCTGATATATTAAAATCAATACTTTTTTACATTCATGAAGTAATCGTAAAATAATTTTATTCTTTTTCGCGGCCATTCTTTCTGAAAACAAATTTAAACAAAATTAAATAGTATACGTTTGAAAAATTATTTGGAATTAAATCGTACGTCAAGGGGCTGATATAATGTACAAAATTCTTGGTGAAGACAAGCTTAAATACTGATGTAACACAAAGTGTAAGTGTCGTGTAAGTGTACGTGTCGTAAAGATTATTTAAGAGGGAGAATTAACCGAGGCTGGTGGGCGTAATTCATGGTGCAATCAAGCCCTCAATAGAATATTACTGGAAAATTTTGTTGTTGTTCTGTTCGTATCGTATAAGTAGTCGATCTGATAAAATGTTATTAGGATGCATAAAATCTTCTATTGCTTCAATACTTCGTTCTATAAATATATAAATGGTAAACGATATAAAACAGCATTGTTTTATCCTGTATTCATCTAAAGTTAAAAAAAAAAACAAATGTTATCTGAAGGTTCGAAGCAGCTCCAGATTAATATAATGTACGAAATTCTTGGTGGAGAGAAACTTAAATGCTGATGCAACACAAAGTGTACGTGTCCTAAAAGAGTATTCCTCCAAATACTGTGGATCAATAATTGGTAGTTAAAGATTGTTTAAGAGGGAGAATTAATTGTGGCTGGTGGACGTAGCTGGTGGTGCGATCTTGAGATCTAATCCTCCGGAAACATTCACGAGGCATTAAGCAGGCGGCAGATATGTACGTTAGCGGGCAAAACAATGAGAAGCTATAGAGAACGCTCCGCGACACACGTCGACCGTCCGAAATTTACGACCGCCAGAGACGGCGGTTTTTCGTGGTCTTTGTTCCAATACAAGATGTTAGCGAACCTCTAGGAGGGCCGAGACCAGTTTAAACTTTCGCCTTCGTGCAAATTTATGACTTATTCCGTTTATTCTGCGCGATTATTTCGGCTCTTCAGACATCTGGAACATATCTGGGCACTTTTAAAATTATTTTATTCGACGCTTACATACGTCGTGCCTAATTGTTCAATTTTGCGTTACTGGGAGTTGGTTTCTGATCAATCGAATCGTTTTGTTGGAATAAACAAAATTACATATTTTTAACAGAAACAGATAATAATTCATTCGATATTAATACTTTCTTTTATCTTAAGACATGTGCATACTGTTACTCATGCAGACTTAGTAAACATTCAAATTCAAAGAGAAATAAAAAAGAAATGAGATGAAATTAAAAAATTATATATTAGTCATACTGAAGCGTATAAATGAGTAATTTTAACGTTCTTAAATGGTGTTTTAATTGTTATTTTATTTTACTTTACAGTTTGATCGAATTTTAAGTATAATTATTTTTATAATATAACGATTCGATACAAGCAATAACAAATTTTTTTAACTAATTCGTTCATGTAGTTTCGACACCTGTGTTGGTCCTTTTCAAAATACGAAGTCCATAAATACATGTACATTGGAAGGAGAAAGAAAATATTATTGTTTTAATACCTTACTGTGGTAGTCGAGATTTAAATACTGACATGGCGAAAGAATAGTAACAAAACAGCATGTACGACGATTTAAAAGAGCGTAATTACAGGTGCAGCTGCAAACTTTTAAGGTGGACTTAGAGAATCGGTGGCTTAAAGGAACCCGTTTCTGTTTATCTGACAGGTGTCCTGGATGCGTAAGAGGGACATGCATATCCTGAGCGCCGGAACTTCTACTTACACGTCGGATCTGAGGTTCGAAGTGATCCATCCGGTAAAGTCTGAGAACTGGACTCTGCACATCAAGTCGCCGCAGAAACGGGACTTCGGTGTGTACGAGTGCCAGGTCAGCACGGAGCCGAAAATGTCGCTGAACTACACCCTGAACGTAGTCGGTGAGTGCATTCTGAATTATTCAAACTTTTCACGTAAGTCGCGAGGCTTGTATTGATTTTCATTTCCCGAAGAAATCCATCCGATTCGACGGCCCCAGCACAAATCGTAAAGCCGATTGTCCCTGTGGAACTTGCAGACTTGGCAAGTAATAGCGTATTACCATGGATCGGAGTTTGAATTATTAATAAGCACAAAGTGTTTATACTGATCCTTGTACTTGTTGCGTGCTCTCAGCCACCGCGAAAATCATGAGAGAATCCTTATTTAAAGTACTCGTGCAAATTTTATGGACAGAGGATTCTTATTTCGTGGCTGGAACAGACGATCTAGACGATACTTGAGAATATTTTAGGGTTTAAGTACTTGAAGGAATGCTGAACGTACGAGGAATCACAAACACTGTTAGACTCTAAATTTAATAGATTTAAATTTATTTTTGTTATCATGGTGTAATAGAAACGGTCAAGATTGTTTAGAGTTCGATAAAGTCTTCGAAAGAACGAACGTAATAATAATTGCAATAGTAACGAAATTTCTCTTAAAGTTTTAAAGATTAGAACGCTTACAATCGGTCTGTTTCAAAATTTCGTGTTATTACACAACATAGATTATATAAAGAATTCAGATGGAAATATTATTACATTGAAGAGCAATACTTTGATTCTTTGAATAAATGCAAAGAAAACAAATACCAATCTTTTTATCTGGTAAACTAGGCAAACCTCTTAATGGATGAGGTTCGATCTCGTGTCCGATAATGATCGCTTTTAGCTGCGGGCTGCCTATTGCAGGTAATCCGAGGCTCAATCGCTATTGCTCTATCTCATTCACTCTTTGTACGTTCGCCAGACGCGAGCAAAATTCTCATCGAGATAACGTTTTTGAATAACGAGTAAAAGATAACCAACTATTTATCCGGTACTCGTTAAATGAACGTAAAATTTTCAATTATAAAATGAATTATTTCGCAATGAACAGATAAAAAGTAAACGGTACGAATAAATTTCTGCACGCTGGTTTTTATTTGTTATCTATTATTTGAATAAAGTTTCGTCGAGCTCTGATGTTCGCTTTCCGCAATGGCGAGGTATTGCTTGGTATTTAATACGCGATAAAAACAGCGGATTCTTTGTTTGAACAAAATTGCCACCTGCCTCGCGTGACTGCAAGGAGCATGTATCAGATTTAGTTAACAGAGAGTTGCTATAAAAGCGTCAGGATGTTTGTTCCAAAGTATGAGCGATGCGTCGAGTTTACAACTTAAGCCATAACATTTGTCGATTCCTCTATCAATGTGCCTTTAATGTAAAATTACGTCCAAACAGAGTATTATTTACACGTTTGCTCGTGTTATACCTTTGCAGTCCGAGACATCTTTTACATTTTATTCCAGCTGGTGAGCAGTTCAACTATTTAAATTCTGAAAAATTAATTAAAAGTGTTACGTGCTTCTTTTCCCGTGGAAAAATAGAGCGCGATATTTATCCTGACAACGAAGACAAAAACATGCTGTTCTTCGGAAGACAAATGAAGCGCGTGTCGGTTTGATGCGACCATTGATTGCGAGCGTCGAGTTGTCATTTCATTCTGCGTCAATCCTTATTCAGGACGTGAAAATAAGACGTTAGAAACGAGCGTGATTGGCAGAATCATGGAGATTTTGCAACAATGAAGCAGCTTTTGGAGCTTTAAAGAAATTTTTAAAGCAAAAAGCTGTTTGCTTGTATGATGTATGTTAGCCAAAACATCGCTCCCATTTCACACATACAGTTAGGAACAAAAGTATTGGCACACCTGACTCTTCATTATAGAAACGCATATAAATCAAAGAAAAAACACAGAGTTAGGTTAATTCTTTTTAGTAATTACAACTATTAGGTTTATAGTTTGAGAATATTATAAATTTATTTATACTAATTTATTACAAAATAAAAAAGAATAATAAAATGCACATTAATGGCAGTTTTTAATGGAACAAAAGTATTGGCACGCTTACAAATAGATGGTATATTATTATGTATTTTATATAATTTAATATTTCGTGTGTAATCCCTTATTGTTTATAACGGCTTTCAATCTATTTGGCATGGAATGCACTAGTTTTTTTGTAATTTCGGGACTTATTTTATTCCATTCTGTCATCAATATTTCTTTCAATCGTTGTCTATTTGTTATATGTTTTTTAATACATTTTCCTAAATGAGCCCAGAGATGTTCGATCGGGTTTAAATCTGGGGATTGCGGTGGGGTTGGTAAGGAATGTGGGGTATTAAAAACTATCCATTGCCGTACCAAATAAGCGGTATGCTTGGGGTCATTGTCCTGTTGAAAGACATATTGTCTCCCAAGATTTAATTTTTCCACGCTTTTTTTTAGATTATTTTTTAAGATATCTAAATAGACATATTTGTCCATTATATTATCAATAAAAACAAGCTCACCGACTCCACTTGAGCTCATGCAACCCCAGACCATCACTCCACCACCCCCGTGTTTAACAGTGTTCTGAATGTTCTTTGGGTCTAGTTCGGTATTAGATTGTCTCCAAACTAAAGTGCGTCCATTATTTTGAAAAATATTAAATTTAGACTCATCAGAAAAGAGCACTGTATCCCAAAACTCGTTTTCTTTATTAATGTAATCATTTGCAAACTTTAATCTTTTTTCTTGATTAATTTTACTTATAGTAGGCTTTCGTCTAGCAACTCGCGATCGGTATCCTACCTTGTTTAATATTCGTCGAATAGTTATTTTATGTACTTCTTTATTAAAACTTTCGTTTATATTTGCCGCTATTTCTGACGCAGAACTAGATGGTTTTCCTTTTACAATATTAATAATTTTTCTCTTTTCTCGTGCACTCAATTTTTCAGGTCGACCACATCGCGGAGCACTTACAAAATTTTCTGTGTTAGAAAACCGTTTAATAATACTTCTAATTGTAAAACGACTTCTATTAACTATATTTCCTATAGACGAGTATGAATGCCCCTCATTAAACAAATGTAAAATAATTTTTCGCTCAGCAACAGTCGTTTCTTTGCCTTTGCGCTCCATTTTGCACGTTTTCACGTTAGATTTTGTAAACAATTGAATAACGAGAAAACAAATAAATGCTATCGAAATCAGGGGGTTTCCCGAGAAGGATCAATGTACCAACCTTATAAAAATTTCATTCTAGATCCTAGACAAAAGCATTTTATTTCAATGTGCCAATACTTTTGTTTCATTGAAAACTGCCATTAATGTGCATTTTATCATTCTTTTTTGTTTTGCAATTAATTAGTATAAATATATTTGTAATATTCTCAAACTATAAACTTAATAGTTATAATTGATAAAAAGAGTTAATCTAATCCTGTGTTTTTTCTTTGATTTATATGCGTTTCTATAATAAAGAGTCAGGTGTGTCAATACTTTTGTTCCTAACTGTATGTATGCTTAATAATAAATATCGGGGCATTATTTGCTCTGGTGAGTTATTGGTACATTTACCTTAATCCATTTTAGTAATTTATAACACACCCATATTTCACGAAATTATATCGTTTAAAACTATTTGTCTTCTTAAGTTAGTCTTTATTGATGCAGGATTATGATCAACATTGGACTGTATTTTTTACAAATTTTAATAATGTAATATTTAGTGAAAAGACGTGAAGAGTTTTATTTTAGTTAACAATCAAAAATGGGTTAAGATATTACAAATGAGTACACTTACAATTTTCTTCAATATCACGTCTCAATGGTACCAACTAATCAATTGTTAAATATAAAAAACTAGGTAGAAGGGGTTGTGTCTCTTCCCCTACATCCCATCTTCGAAAAATACAGTCCAAAAGTTACGTATGTCTCATTATAAATGAAACTTTAAATAATCCTCTGATATTTCGACTTGCGATGTTTTGTCACGCGTTATTTTCGAACGTGACTTTTTTATCGTGCTACCGTTTTTTAGACAGTTTCTTTTTTACGCAAATCTTCCAAAAACGTCAGGGTAAACGATAACGCAGGATCTCCGCTTCGTATTCACGTCCGTAGTATCTGGTACTCGTGAAATAAAACAAGCAACGGGGAATAACTTATTTCGCTATCGGAAGCTGAAGTTAAAGTCGCGCTATAAACAACCTAACTTTGTTTCGTATAGTCCGGGGAGGCTTTCATACTTACATAAATGTCTTCTTAAGGGCTTAATCATTGCAGTTCCATAACTCTGCAACTCGTAACCTGATCCTGGCAAACTTTCGACACTGCGCTCGTTAGTTTTCCGTGAAATTGAAAGCAACACTTGCAACAAATTACGCTCATCTTTGCGTCGACAACTTTCGCGCCGCTTCTTTCATCGTAGAATTTTAAATAATTTTTCTGTAAATTCTATCAACTTATCGTGTCATCTAGTAATATTACATCAATTTTGCTAAGTACGTACTCGTATCTTTGCCCGTGGAAACGACCACGTTTCATTTTTATCAGCAATAAATCGGTCTTACTGTAGATTTTTTTGAGCATAAAACAAGATGAGAAGGAAAATATTGTCTGGCTTGATGAGATCTCTCTTTCTCTGAACATATTTTTTTAAAAAGATGGAACAGCGCGGCCGGGTAATGGAACAGGAGTTTTATTTTCTTAAATGGAACACTCATCGCGTAAAATTATTCTGTCCAGTGACGAGAAGGATTTACGAAAATGACAAAAATAGTTTCTATGAGTTGGTCTTAAAAACGTGGAAAATTCTTATTCGATTATTATTATTATTTATATCGAGTATCGTAAAGACACGATCGATTGTTTATAAGAATACCCTTATATCCCGCGCATTTGCTCGTCTTACTGCGCGACGGAACGAAGCTAAAAATCTATATACCGTTCACGGTGCTTGCATAGCTCCCTCAAAACATCTCGAGCACGAATTCCGGTTTACAGCGTGAGCAAAAAGGCGTGGCAAGCGCGACAATCCATCGAGAATCGTCGAGCAAAAAGAGCTTGATTTTCTGAGCAC